TCCTGCTGGGCTTGAAAGGATGCAGGGCTTAAGGGCACAATGGTGGCTTGGCCCAGGCAGAGGCAGTGGGGTTGGAGAATTCTGGATACATTATGAAGACAAAGTCAACCAGTTTTGTGGACACACCCGATGTGGGGAGCAGGAGGAAGGAGAAGAGAGGAGTCAAAAGTGGCCTCAAGGTCTCTGGCTTGAGCAATTGTAACAACGGGGTTGTCACTGGTTAAACATTAATTTGAACATGAAAACTGGTGGTAATGGGTTTCTTAACCATGAACAACATTTGACTTGGATGTTTCAATCAAAGGGTAAGGAAGTGGCCCCATGGACCGCTGAATGGGTTGGCAGGAAAAGGACTGAACTACAGGACTAGAGAATCCTTAAGTGTGGTTTAATTGTAACTGCAGGAGGGAGGTACGGGTCAAGCATTTGAGGCTGAGGCAGGGAGAAGCAGAGGGACCACATTCACCTAGGATAGGAGCTGACCTGGAGAGAGAGGGGCTGTGACCAGCCATGGCGTGCCTGCAAGGCAAGCTGGAAGGGACAATCGTGGACACCAGAGACAGGATCTGAGAACGAAAGTACCGATTTAGAAAGCTTCAACGTCCGGTATGAAGAATGATAGGATAGTGGCAAGAAGAGAAGTTGAAATGGATAAAAAACATAGAAAAGGAAAAGTATGATGAGGACTTAAATCAGAGTGGCCTTGGGGAGGGGGAAAGGGAAGGACAGGAAGGACAAAAACAGGTGGGGGGAGCTAAGTGTGGCTCTCAGAAATCCGGTGGCATCTGAGGAGCGACTACCGACACCCAACTTCAAAAACACAGTGTGTTCTCTGTGCCTTTCACGTTCAAGAAAAGTACTGACCCTGCTTAACGATCGGCTTTGGCACAGAGAAAAAGGACCCTACAGCATGTGAGTTCTTCGTTTCTCTCGGGCCACTCGACGCAACACATTAGATATTAAAGCTGTGCCTTTAAAAATCCTATTTTTAATTTCCCCAGAGTTCAAGCTGAGGAAAAATTACTAAGTGAAGCCAACCCCTGCAACCTGCTTTGTATTCAATGGGGGAAATGAAGCCAAATGCCCTATTTAAACTAGTTTCAAAACCATTATTTTCTAGATACCTCAAGGGAGCATTAGGCATTAATGCATAACAACAATCCTAAAGTGATCTGGTTCAAAGAGGCAATAAATGGATAGCTGGCACAACTAAACGTATGTTTAGAAAGAAAACAAAGGAAAAAAACCTCATAGTCCCAAACTTGTTCACGAGTTTTTTTTTTAAATGCTTTGTTGGCTATTTTATGTTTCGTTTTCTTTTTTTGACCTGAATTTCATTTTAAAATAAAAGCTCACATATTATGTGTACTTAGATCCCTAAAGAGCTCCAAGAACCTGTCCTACCCACAATCAGACAGCCTCTGGTTCAAACAGTCCGCATTTTAGGCCTCCGAGAATAGGTCCAAGATGGCAAAGTGAAAATGCAAGAAGAAAAGAGTTTTCTTGGGTCAAGAAGTGTCCTAAGCAATAGTTTGGAAAAGTGAGTTAAGTCTTGGCTGACCCTCTCTGCCTCCTCAAGCTGGCTCGGTGCCTTCCGGCTGCCCAAGCAGGATATGTAATATCCAGTTTGGGATTCTGAGGACTCCAATTTCCTTGGGTCACACTTAATGGACATATCTTTCTGTGAATCAAAACTCCCATTCATTTATTGCATCTATCCAGAGCTAGATGGGAAGAAAGGGTCCAGATCTAACCATTATGTCCAGCCCTACCACCACCGGAATGAATGAAAGGGGTCTTTGTTTATTCTAAAGACATCTGTAACCATGAGCTATTAAATTTAATTGCTTTGCTATTGCTACTACTCTATTTTTTCCTCAATTAAATTAAGCCTCAAGTCTTTCTCATGTGCGACTTACCTCGCTAGTTCTAAAAATTATTCGGTAGTTGTATGGAGATACATTTTCTTTCGTTTCTTCTGGTTTTTCCCTTCGAATGCTCACAGCCACCGGACCAAGATTCTCATCTGCCCCAAAATAGTTCCAGTGTTCTTAGGTACAATGAGACAAAACAAAATTAGAATATTTACAGAATGCTTAAAAATGTTATATGCTGCTTGCTATTTAGATCACTCAGAAATTACTCTATACCAATAAAATGTAAACGCATTTAACAAAATCAGTATTCTTCAATGAGTTATAAAAGTAAAGACTTAGCTATGCAGGTTTAGTCTCAGAAGAGGTAAGACAACAGAGGTGGCCTGTTCAGGTGTTTACTACTCGGCAACTTACTGCTCTGCTATTTTTTTCAAAAGAAATTTGTGTTTTCTCCTTATAAACAGGCTATATTGTGTCAGGGCTTCTTAGCTTTCATAAAAACAACAACAACAACAAACTCCCCCCAAACCTACTGAGAACAAAGTTTGCATACGGAGGGATTTCCTGCAGATTAAAAAAGATTCCCTGGACTGGAGAGGGGTCTGTGAGTTACTCGGCAGCTTTCCTCCCATGTTGCCCAAGTAAGATGGAGTCTTAGCTCAGAGGTAAGAGCTTCAAAGTGCCCCTGGGAGGCAGAAGCTCAGACCCAGGGCTCTGGGCCTCACCAATGGTTCCCACATAGTAAGCACAAAAGGCATTCCACAGAGCCACTGAACCTGGAGGGAAGTGAGGGCTGGGATAAAGGGTCTCTCCTAGGCAACCAGTGTGGCCGTGGCCGTGTGACTAATGACAACTCAGGGGCCTCTCTCCTCAATGTCTGGCATTGCTCCAGACTCCAAACCTTGGCACAACCTTGGGGTTTGGGGGAAAGTGTCCAAATGACTGGTGTTGACTTTACCTTCCTCCTGACGAGAAGGAAGGTCACGATCAAAATTAAATTAATTTACAGAAAACGTAAAAAGTGATATTTACTCTACACCTAAATATCTACTTCGTAAAAAAAATTAAAATCGTTGATACAGACATGATACGTTTACAAATGAGAAAGCGAATAAAACAAATATATGAAAAGCCAGAACAGATAACTTACTTTTCGAACCTCCAAAACACTTACTTTACATTGTCCTATTTCATTTACATGTGACATGGTTAAATGACTGAGTTGTGACATGGTAGGTTATTCTCATACAAAATGCATCAATATTTGAAAATACATGTTATTCTCATACAAAACATGTATTTGAAAATCCATGAGAATAATAAGAAACAACAGCATAAAATATCTAATCATGTAATTTTAAAATTTAGGTAGTAACGTATGAGAATGCTTTGCAAGTACTAAAGAACAATTATAAAAGATGTACTCATTAATATCACAGGCTCTCTAAGAATATTATCATAATCCACGGAAATTCAAAATAAGGGAAACACAATGGGGATACAAGCAACAAACATCTCATATATGGACAGCTGAGAAACAACCCAATAAACATCACAAAATTCATGTACAAACACTTATGTACACCCTCAAAGCATAGCACGTGAGAATCACACTCAGAGGTTATTTACTCTTACTTTGCACATAATTTTAATAAGCGTGGTTGTCTGATCTTCAAGCCCACAGCTTGATTTCAGAGGTGTGATAATTCCAGATGTTGACAAAGTCCAGGGTGTAGGGCTGATAGAGACTTTCATGCAGACAGCAATGGGACAGAACAACTGACAACAAGGAAGAAAACAGAAAGGGAGGAGACACAAATAGTATAAAAACGCGGACAAGAACTGAAAGAGAAACAAGACAGCAGTCTGGGGCCATTCACTGAAGGAGTGAAGAGCTTAACAAACTTCAATAACGTCAGAGCATATTTTAACCCGGCAGCAGAGAACACCAGTGAATGTTGTCAAAGATGAGCGTCACATTCATTATATCCTGTTCCTTGCACTTCATGGACTCTACTGAAACCTGACTCCAGAAACTCCTCAAACACCGCCCCCCCCACACACAAACCTCAGGAAGGGCAGGTGAGACTGCTATTCTCTGCTGCTGGAGAAATTCACCAAGACGGGGGTCGCTCTCAATTAGTGCCAATAACCTCAACTCATCCTCAAGCTGTCCCTGGTCTGCTCTCGCTCTCCTTCTCCAGAGAAGATGTCTCAAATATTCTCTGTTCTCCCTCAAACCCCCCCCCCATCTACCTTCTCTCAATCTTAGCAGATAATGCTGTCTACATCCCAAAGAAGATAAAGAGCCATTTCAGAAGCAACTGTCCTCACTTTCCACCATCACGCACACTTACCTGGGTCCAGACTTTTGCTTCCTTTCCTTTACAATCTAAAACCCAATCTCCCCCGAAATTCTGGTCTCCACTCATTCCACCTTCCCAGGGACACTGATACCCGATCACCTGCCCTGTATCTTCAACTTCCCCTCTCTGCCTGCTCATTCCCATCATCATTCAATCAGGCTCAAGTCTCCCTCATCTTTAACCGTAACACTTACCCTCAATTCCTTATCCACCTCCAGGTTATCTCCTTTTTCTTTCCTTCCACTGGAAACTTCTTGAAAGAGATGCCTAATTCTTCACTTTAGGATTCCTATCATCTGACGCCATTGCACAGTCACCAATGTCAGCCTTACAGTTAAAACAAATGGAAACTTTTGGCCCTTATCCTGCTCAAATTCGCCACAACAACTCACCAATGGCACAGTTGGCCATTTCATTTGTTTTCTAGAAACACTCATCCTGGCTTCTCAGGCACCACCCTCTCCTGATTTTCCTTCCACCACTCTGGCTCTTCTTACTCAGTTTCCCTTCCTCTTCCCATCTGGAATCTTCCATCCACTCTCAGAACTTCCACTGCCATCTCAATGCTGATGACTCTCAAGAGTCGACCTGCCCACTCTAGACGTCTGTGAGCCCTGGATCTTTACATCTACCTAATGGAACTCACTGTTTGTTTGTCCCATGGCATCTGTAAAAGTGAACCCATCACCTTTCATACAAACCTATACAGCTCTCCCTGCAACCCCAATTTCGGTGACTGCTACCACATTTCTCTAGCTGCTCACGCCAGACCCAATGTCATGCCTCGTGAATTCTAGTTCCTAAATAGCTCTCAAATCCACCTACTTTTCCTCCGTCTCACTGCCACTGATTTACCCTCATCATCATTTGCCTGGATGTTTGTGAGTCTTCTGATTGATTAGCTTTTCCTGATTGGCTTCTAAGATGCAAACTTGACCATCACTATTAAGTTTAAAACCCTCCTCTCGTTTCCCACCAGTCGTTGGATACTTCTTGTGGCTTCCCAAAGGCTCTCACAGCCTGTCACCAGCCTATCACTCCAGTTTCAACTTGGACATTTCCATCAGCCTTCTGAACTCTGAGAACCAATCATACTGAACTTCTCAACTCACTGTGCCCCTTCTCACCTGAGACACCCTACCTAGAACATTCTTCCCACAGCTCCTCTTTATTTGACTAAGTCCTCTCATCCTTCAGGTCGCATCTGAAATATTATTTAGACACCCTCTCAAAGAGTGATTGAACACTGGAGCAAAATGAAAGTGTACACTTTGTATAGTAACAATAATACTTTAAGAATTCATAAAAATACAGATTAGGGAAACCAAATATTTAATATATTTCAACTACAAAAATTTAGAAATGTTGCAACAGAAAAATGTAAATTTATAAAAATATAAATATTAAACACAATCATTTGAGTATAAATTGGCAGATAAAATAATAGTGTTATTTTAAAAAGAAACTAAATCCTACATAAAAATGAAGAATATTGATTTAAAAATGAAAAAAAATTAAAGATCGTTTAAACTTTTTTTGTGTGTGTGGTCCTCAACACCTGGCTATATATATATATTTTTTTTTTCCGGTACGCGGGCCTCTCACTGTTGTGGCCTCTCCCGTTGCAGAGCACAGGCTCTGGATGCGCAGGCTCAGTGGCCATGGCTCACGGGCCCAGCCGCTCCGCGGCATGTGGGATCTTCCTGGACTGGGGCACGAACCCGTGTCCCCTGCATCGGCAGGCGGACTCTCAACCACTGCGCCACCAGGGAAGCCCCTGGCTATATTTTTGTGCGATTTTTCCCAGCTACTGAAGGAGTACATTTCTGAGTTGGGGGAATGCTGATGAGATCATTATAAACTAACTTCTAACACCTTCTTCAGACTCTATGTTCAAACAAACCCATCTCTGATTTGATAACTCCAGGAAGACCTTTTAAAAACTTATTTGTGTGTTTGTGCAGAAACATCAATCTTTTTTTACTGAAAAAGAGCTCTAGCTATTATTTCCAAGAAAGCATTTCCATTTGATCTTTATTTCAGTTTCATCAGTGAGATGGAGATTCTGGTCTGGCTTCCTGTGTTAAATTCATCATGTTCAGACTCTACTTGTTCAAAAAGGCTTTCAACTTGAGTAAGAATTATTCTTACAATAAAAGCCCTGCTTTTTGGTCCACCATCCATTTTTCTGCTCCTGAGGATTACAGAAGTATAGACAAAAATCCTTTCTACATGAACACAACTTTTTCAGTTCAAAATCCGAATGCAATGTATAATTCGCCAATAGAGGAATCTGGTTCAGCAAATTACCTTAAATTGAATTTCTGAATTTTTAAACTTTGATCTCAAGACAAATGACTTTTCTTTTTTTTTAAACTTAAAAGCCAGCCTTTTAGGGATATCCTGTGTCCAGTCCTTCTGGCCACTCTTGCCGCTGCCTGTCCTTCAAGTTCACTGGACTGCAGTACTTTCCTCTTGGGACCACAGCCTTGGGGCAGCACTTCTGTACTTGCTCCCCTCTGCAGCATGTTTTATTTCTGCCTACCAGCCATGTACCTCCACCTTTTGCTGGCGGTGCTATTCATCAACTGCAGAGAGCTCTTCCAGCCATACCTACAATCAGCTTTGTCTTTTTGGGGGTGGCGGGACAGAAGGGAGAGAAGGGGTACAAGGACAGGGGAGATGCAGATGATAAGTGTTAAAGAAAGGCCAGGAAGCCTTCGATGATGAAAGTCAGAGGGAGGAAAGGGAAAGGAAAGAGGAGTTGGAGACTCAAGCAGGGTGGTTAAATCTGCTGATGGATGAAC